CTAGAGGCTGTGGCATGGCTGAGATGACCTGAGTCCTGCTTTCCCCCTGGACAGCCAGAGAAGCTGGGTGACATCTGCACCTCACTGCGCTATGTGCCCACGGCTGGGAAGCTCACTGTCTGCATCCTGGAGGCCAAGAACCTCAAGAAAATGGACGTGGGTGGCCTTTCAGGTGCGTGCAGAGCTTCTGGCTGCCATTGGGTGGCACCAGCAAGCCGGTCACTGCCCAGAGCCCTGGAGTTAGCACACCCCAGTGAGGGGAAAGCCTTCCTACCCTGGGACACCACTGTCTCTGCATGGAGCAGGGGAGCTTCCCTAGCTCCCCAGCTCCTCCCTTTCTCCGAGGGTCTCCTGTCCCCAATCTGAGCTGCCTTCTGGTGCTCTCTGGCCATGTCCTATGGACCATAGAGGGAAAAAGCAGAGAAATGTCATCCCCCAGATGAATTAGTGACTTAGGATTTTACTTCTCCCAGGGAGTGTAGGGGAGTGGGCAGGGCTTAGCCCAAAGTGTACTTGTCACCACCACAATTGGGGACACTTTTCCAGGAGAGGCTATAGGCTGTGCTGCCTATAGGGACTGGAAAGGGACTCTAGGGGGGAAATGCTCTGAGTTTCACATTTACCTGACGGGGAGTGGGGCTGGCCCATGGCACAGGTTCTGGTGGGTGAAGCTCACTGCCTCTGCTATGCCTTCCTGGGGAATCAGCCTCGTGCATGGGCTCCAACCAGCACATCTTGGTGCCAGCCCAGCTCTGTCACTGACCTGTTGTGTGGCTTTGGGCAGGTCATTCCCCTTTGGCCTCAGTGTCTCATCTGCAAGGTTAGGAGGGTTGGGTTGGGTTGGCATCATGACACAGGAGATGTCATGATCCTGCCTTTAGCCCTCCTCCACCCCTTCCGAGCATAAGCACCACCAGTCAAGCCCACACTCTCTCTCACAAAGCCTTACTTAGACTTGGAAATTTCCCCACACCGTGCTCTAGGAAGCCCCAACCAAGATCAGAGTTGGTCCTTGACTTGAAACCTTTTTGCAACTCTTGAACTGTATGATTACTCTGTGTCTTTTGGACTTCCTGTCCCATGACTCAGGCTTTCTGAGGCCTGATCTCAGCAGGTGGAGACCCCTGTTACGGCAGGCCTGGGTGCATCCCGTGGGAGGGCTAAGGGAGACCTCTCGGGTTGGGGTTCTCCCTCTGCAGACCCCTATGTGAAGATCCACCTGATGCAGAATGGCAAGAGACTCAAGAAGAAGAAGACGACAGTAAAGAAGAAGACCCTGAACCCGTACTTTAACGAGTCCTTCAGCTTTGAGATCCCCTTCGAGCAGATTCAGGTGCTTGAGCCCTTCGGGTCCTAGTCACAAGCAGGGGTCGGGGAGGCAAACACGGATGGGGAGGTTGAGAAGAGGCAGCTCAGCTGAAGACCCCAGAACAACCTGACTCAGGTGGGGAAGGCTCTAGGTCTGATGGTGCCACAGTGGGGCCTTTTACCCTGGGGGTTCTTCCAGATGGTCCCCCTTTTCAAAGGAGATGAATATGAACTAATTCAAAAAACTTCGGGCCGGCCTGTGGCTCACTCGGGAGAGTGTGGTGCTGACAACACCAAGGCCCCAGGTTCGGATCCTGTATAGGGATGGCCGGTTAGCTCACTTGGGAGAGCATGGTGCTGACAACACAAAGGCCACGGGTTCGGATCCCAGATAGGGATGGCCGGTTAGCTCACTTGGGAGAGCGTGGTGCTGACAACACCAAGTCGAGGGTTAAGATCCCCTTACCTGTCATCTTTTTAAAAAAAAAAAAAAAAGCTTCTACAAATCATTCCTTTAGGACTTTGGGAAACATGGTCTTGCACGTAGGCACAGGCACCAGGGAGGTTGGGAGCTGGCTGAGGGGGCGCCTCTTCCTCCTGCACCCTCCCCCGGCCACATCCTGTCTGCGCCATCCCTGCCCCACTTCTTCGGCTCCCTAGGTCTGTTCCCATCTCTGACCCCTTCCTCTCTCCTCTTTTCTCTCCATCCTTCCAGCCTTTTCTGCTCTTTCTTTTCTCCCTTCCTTCCCACCAGCAAGTTCTATAAACATTGAAGATGAGGTCTGTTTTCAGCACTCGGGATGAGTGGGATCTGGACCTGGCAGGACAGGAGACCACCCACCCACCTGGGCTGGAAGTCAGATGCAGCCAGGGGCTTGCAGAGTGGAGGATTCTCGTGGCGTCCTGGTCTCTCTTTCTTTCTAGTGAGCTGATCCCTCGTCCTCTCCTCCCCCCGCCAGGAGGGCTTGGGTGCCCAGAGAATCTTCAGAGTTGGTGCTGTCATCTATGGAGATGGCTATGCTGTCATCTGTGATTCTTCAAGGGACAAATGGGCAGCTCAGTGATAATGTTAGCCAAAGAGAAGTCCTCATTACGGAGAACTTTAGATGTAAAGTACACTGGCCCAGGCAGCTCAAACTCAACATGCCTAAAACCACTATACGGACCTTCCCCCTATCCCTCTCCCAAGCAAACCTGCTTTGTCTGAATTCTCTGGGTTTTTTTTGGTGGCTGGTGAAGGGATCTGAACCCATATCTCAGTGTTCTGAGGCTGGGCTCTAAACAACCGAGCTAGCTGCCAGCCCACCATGTCCTTTTCTTTTTTTGCTGGCCGGTACAGGATCAACGCCGGGTCCTCGGCGTTATCAGCACCACACTCTGCCCTGAATTCTCTGTTTTCAGTGAGTGGCTCTACCGTCTGCCCAGCAGCCCCAGTCAGAAACCAGAGCACCATCTTAGACCCAGCCCTTTTTCCTTTCCCCTTTGTTCAATAGAATTTACTGAGCATTTCTCAAGTGCTGGCACTTGTTAGGGGCTGGAGAAACGAGTGTGGAGAGATCCTTGCGCAGTCCTTGCTCCCAAGGACCTCACGGCGGGAGGGGACCAGAAAACAGGCTGCTAAAGCACAGTGAGGTGATGGTGTCAACGTGCGTGACACAGAGACAGTTCAGGTGAGGCTTCTCAGAGAGAGCTTCGTCCTAAAGGATGAGTCTGAATCGGCTGGGCTCCGGGGAGAAAGGCGACAGATCCCCTCAACAAATGGAACTGATCGCCAGACTCTCTTGATTCTGTCCCTTAAGTGCGTCTCCGATCTGGCCCCCACTTGCCGTCCCCACGGCACCGCCGGGGTTCAGGTATTCAATACCCACCCTCTCAGGCCCCCAGTAGCCTCCCAGCTGTCTCCTCCCTGCCATCGGGCCCAGTCCTCCAGCGAATCTTCCATCGCAATGCCAGAGTTTCCTTTCTAAAATATCTCTGCCACCCTTTCTCTTTGAAGTGTTTAGGAAAGAAAATAAAAATAAAAATAAGACTGCAGGCTGGTTAGCTCACTAGGTAGAGGGCGGTGCCGATAACACTATGGTCAAGGGTTTGGATCCCCGTACTGACCAGCCGCAAAAAAAAAAAAAAAAAGAAAAGAAAAGTCTTCGGAGCTCCCGACTGCTTGCCTCTCCGTCACTGACCCCAGCCCACCCTGCCGACCTCATGTCCTGTCTGGTCGCCTCTCACTTTCTACCTTAATGACTCTGAACTTCTAACGTTCCTCAGACATCAGTGCACTCTCATGTCTCTGTGCCTCCACCCACGCTCATCTGCCCTGGAATCTTCTTCCCTCTTTTCTCTTCCTAGAGAAATTCTCAGCTTTGTGTCCCAGTTCAAATGTCACCTCCTCTGTGAAGCCCTTTCTGATCGAGCTGAGCAGGACTGTCCACTACTCTGAGTTTCCATAGTATCTTGTGCTTAGCCGTCTAGCATAACCATTACCACTTTGTGTTGTAAGTTTTTGGTTATGTGTCTGCTGAGCTTACTAAAGGTGAAATTCATCTTTTCAATTTTCCTCCCCCAAGTGCTTAACATAGTGCCTCGAGCATAGCACGTGCTCAATAAATGCCTGTTGGTAGAAACAAAGTTTGCCTCCAAAATGGCGTGGCCTCTGCCTCCATGTAAATTCAGTCTTAATTCGAGCCAGAGATGGGAGCAGGGAGCGCGGGGAGGCCTTTCCTCCCCAAGCATTTGGAGTATGGAGTGATGGAGGGGAGAAATTTGGCCGTGGGATCCCACGTCTTCGCCTGCCAACTCCCTCCTTCCTTTGCTTTCCTTGCAGAAAGTCCAGGTAGTGGTCACCGTGCTGGACTACGACAAGCTGGGCAAGAATGAAGCCATCGGCAAGATCTTTGTGGGCAGCAATGCCACAGGCACAGAGCTGCGGCACTGGTCTGACATGCTGGCCAATCCTCGGAGGCCCATCGCCCAGTGGCACTCACTTAAGCCCGAGGAGGAGGTGGACGCACTTCTGGGCAAGAACAAGTAGGCAGCAGTGGCTGGGACCCCGCACCCTTCATGGACACGGACAAGATCCAGAGCTATCAATACCTCAGTTGTGCGACCTTAGAGGTTTTTTTCATCTGTTCGTGATTGTGTCCTTGTTTTTCCTTCCTTTTTCTCTTTTTAAAGGCCAACTTCCCTTTGATGGCTGTGTGAAGAGAGTCCCCTAAGAGGTGAAAGAGAAGCCTGGCTCTGTTCATCGTCCCAGGAGCTGCCCTTGCTGCATGCCCTGCCTCGGTATCCCACACTCTTTCAGAGCTTCCCTATGCCTCACCCTGGGTGAGGCCCTCTACTGGCAGAAAGTTGCAGCACTTCCTGCTTTTTGAGCATTTTGGACCAACAAAATGGCAGCACATCCTGTTTCTTGACACGGAAGGCAACGCAGCACAGTGGCCAATGATCCATGTGTGTGCACACATGAGTGCATGTGCATGCGACTTTGAGCATCTGTCTTCACTCCTGGAATGAGCCATGGACAGTGAAGTAGTGTAGGAAGAGAAGGCTCTCTGGGGGCTCTGAAATGAATAAAGTCCACTGTCTAATTGGGAGATCTTCTGTTAGCTTGTGGAGAAGGCTCAAAATCCTGGTCAGATTCCAGAAGCTCCCACACTCCTTGTGGGTGGCTACTTGGGAGGCAGCAAGATGTGGAGACTGGATGTGCCTAGAACTAGGACCAAGCCCTGATGCCATCACAGACTTCTTCATGTCAGTCATGGTTTCCCCAGAAGTGTGGTTTCTGGGACATTCATGGATATAAACTATTTACTAGATTGGCCAGACTCTAACAGGGACTGTCAGTCCTAGGACCTCACCCTTGTTGACAATGAATATCAAACTATGAAGAAACAGAAGCCCTATTACCCAGAAAGACCAAAATTAAACTCCTGGATCTTCGTCCTGTCCAGTGGGAAACAAAGATGCTGTCCCTTCCCTCTTTCCAGAGTATAAGCTGTACAGTCCATTTGCATTTACTCCCCAGCGTGCTTTTGCTCTGTTTCTCTTTAAATTTATGTGGAGCAACACTGAAGACACGTTATCTGTACAGAGCCAGAAAACTTTAAAAGGAAGGTTTAAATGTGCTTAGTTCCCCCGAGGTCCAGGTAAGAAGCGGGTGGCAAGAAGGGGAGGATGGTGGACAGATGGCAGAGATTTCTCAGGATGAGGTAGATGGGAGCCTGGGGTTCCCCCCAACTCCCACCCCTTGCTCCCTGGACCCTCTGCCGTCGATGCTGGAGGGCTTATGGGTAGCTGGAGTGGCCCGGGGAGACCTGTGGGAGGCCCCAGCCTACCATTCTCTAGGGAGGCCTCTCTCTATGGATGCCAAGAAATGAAGGGTGTCCATTCCGAATGGACGGTGGAGGAGACCTGCCAGGGCTACTCCATACTCAGCTGTGTCCCATTCGCTGTTCACCTTTTGTCCCCAGCATTGATAAAAAGCCATATATATGTTAGTCAAGTTTGCACTGAGTCCTCTTCCAAACCCTTAGTCTGGGCAAGAGAGTCAGGCCCCCATGTGGCCAGAGGCCAGCCCTCCTTGCCTCCCTTCCTTTGGCCTCTTGCTGTTTCTTCACCACAGAAAACTCACAGCTTCCCCAGAAGCCTGGGGATCTCTCTCTTTCCCAGAAAAAATGGCAGCACTTCCTGTCCTGCCCTATTTGGGCCACTTCAGCTTCCTGTAGGTACCTGAGACAGATGGATGGTATTGGAGAGAATCGGGCTTTGAGGACCTAGCACAAAGAAGGTGCAGAGTGTCTATTTTATTTTTAAAAAGGGGAAGGAGCTTTTGTTTATTCCTTGCTTTGTTTTTTTGGTTGAGGTAGGGGGTGAGGGAACATCTCCACCAGAAACAGACTGGGAAGCAGGGCTCAGACTGCCTGTCTTCTTCTCGCTAGTGGCCCTTGGTACCGGAAGGAGCTTTTGTTTATTCCTTGCTTTGTTTTTTTGGTTGAGGTAGGGGGTGAGGGAACACCTCCACCAGAAACAGACTGGGAAGCAGGGCTCAGACTGCCTGTCTTCTTCTCGCTAGTGGCCCTTGGTACATGGAAACTTATATATTTTATGTACTTTGTGCGTGTGTGTACATGTGTACTTAACAATGGGAAGGTAGGACTCTGGTAAGGATTATAAGCTGTGGTCCTTGGGACGCTGCCAGTAGAGAGTTGTAGGACAATAGGGTAACTTCAGAATCTGGGTGGCTTCAGAGTAGGATATCCTGGTAAGGACATCAGAAGTCACTGGACTCTTCTCTCTTCCCCAGAGCTGTGGGATTTTGGTGCTTTCTCAGGGTCTCCCCTCACACTCATTCTGCTCACCCACATCCCACAAACCTTATTGACGGAAACTCTGTCAGTCTCATCCCCTATACCTTAATTCTTTTTCCCTTTCCCAAGCCACTTCTACCCCCTGGGATTCTTCTCTGCCCATGAACCTCATTCAGCCTTTCAAGAGCCCAAGATTTGCCATTCCCTTGACAGGGAAGGAAAGGAAATGGTAGGCACGTCTGGTGGTTTGGGTGTCCATGCGCCTGGAGACGGGCTGGATTTTACTACTCCGAGGCCAACTCTAGTGAGCATTCTTGAGGGTGGGGGCAGGTTGCTGGGAGACTGAGTCCTGGAACAGTAAAGCCAGTGTGTGAGGGGGGAGCAGTTCCTTCCCCAGGTTGCAGCTCGTTGTGATGAGCCAACCTAGCAGGTGGCATCTGTCTGGGTGCACGGGCTAGGCCTGAACATCCTAATGCTTGTGTTTGCTACACATGGGCTGATGTAGCCCCAACTACAGAGCATCATTTTGAATTCTCGCTGCTGTGTGGGTTTATTTCTGAGGATGCTACTGTACTTGGCATGTAGGCACTAAGGAGGATATGGTTAGGGTGTCTGGCCAGTGATGCTTTTGGGGCTGTGAGTTTTCATCCCAAAGTGTCCAGAGATAGGGAAGTATTATAGAGGTTCCTAGATTTGACAAATAAATATACAGGATGTCCAGTTAAATTTGAATTTCAGATAAGCAACAAATAATTTTTAAGTATAAGTATGTCTTAGGCAACATTTGGGACATGCTGTACTAAAAAGTGATTCGTTGTTTATCTGAAATTCAAATTTAACTGCTATCCTGTGTTGTGTCTGGCAACTCTACCCTATGGCTACGTCTCCCTCCTCACCCTTGGTCACAGGAGGCCAGAGACTGGTCACCGAGGATTGGACTTAACTTGTTTTTTGAGCTGCAATATTGAGAAGGGGACACTGTGACTTGAAGACACATGAATATACTTTACTTTTTAAGCGACAACAAAACAAGTACCTTCGGAAGCCATTTGAGCCTCATCTGCCCCTCTCCATGTGTGTTTAGTTATATGTAAAAGAAGACAGTTATCTATAAACACATGAACAGAATCTTGTTCAATCAAGATGCATGTCTACAACTTTCTGTAAATAGCCGCATGGTAATCCTGAGTCCCCTTGATCCCAAACCCATTTGCAGAACTGGTTGAGGCTGCTTCTTTGGTTTTATGTTGTGAGAAGTCTTTGTCCCCCAGCCCTACCCCGCCTGTCCCCATTGGGAATCTTCCAATGGGTAGGGTTCCGGCTCTGGTGCCAGCCCTGGCCCTGGCTGTGGGAGATGCTGGAGGACACCGTCACCCTGACGGCCTGTCTGTTGCACATCCATCTGCAGAGCCAACCCTCGGGGCACGGGGCACTGTGTCCAGCCTGGTGTCTGGTGTTCCCGTAGCGTCCATGTCCTGTGTATGTGTGTGGTGTGCCCCTTCCTCCCACTGTCTGAATTAACTGAAAAGCCATAAAGAGGGCCTCCTGCTGGAGACCGCCCCCAGCTCCTCCAGGGGCCCTTATGTCCCTGTGACTGGCTCCCCACAGAACACTGGTGGAGGGCTCACCTGCTGTCACCCCGCTGTGCTCTCTCAGCCCCATGTCAGGAGGATGGATGGTGTTCAGGGCATCTGGGGCGGCCTTGGGAGATGCTCTGGCTGGCCCTGCCTGAGCTGGCTTCCTCGGCCTACTTTTGACAGTTCAACTCCATCTCCACCTGGTGTGGACAGGGCCGTGGGGGGGACACCATAGTTTTGGATACCTTTCTTGGGGGCCTTGTGGAGGAAGCCAGGATCTTCAGGAGCAGCCAGTCAGCGGCTCAGCCTGTGGTCAGGTTCTGATGTATCACCCGGGGTTGACAGAACAGCCCTGCTTACCTTCCACTGGGGAGAAGCCCAGGACACAGTGGCTAAGCTCTAGTCCACGCTTCTCTCCCTGCCGTCTGACAGCATCCCGAGAGCAGGGTGGTCTGAGGGCTGCCAGGGCTCCTCGGAGAGTGGGGAGCAGGGCTGGTCGCAGTTTTGAGGGATGGCTCAGAGACGTGGCAGAGCAGGTGTGCATGAGGCTCCCTGAGCCTCACATCTACTCCCCTGGCAGACCCAGCCGGGTGCGCCAAGTAGGGAGAGAGGTGGGCAGAGGGGGACGGTGGCTTCCAAGGTTCCGGGTGACTGTGTTGAACTGAGAGGGACAAGTAGTCCCCGGCCTGCAGTTCCTACCCCTTGGGCACCCGACCAGGGCAACAATGCGTGGGGACAGCCCAGGAGGCCTCAGGCCTGGCCACGGTGACGAGCGTGGGATTGGAGAGACAAGGCGAGAGGAGACTCGGGCAGGGTGCTTGAGACAGGGCAAGAGGTGGCGAGACGGGCTCTGCCCTTTACAAACCACACCTCGTGAGCACACAGAAGTCTCTGGGACCTTTGTGCTGGGGACATGAAAAGAGCAGGGAAAGTGGAGGGAACTATTTCAGAGCAGGCTGGGGTCAGGTGTTCGGACAAGCAGAGGGAAGACATGTCTTGCCTCCCTTAGCTCTCTCTGGGACCCTCCCACTCTCCACACACACAGCAGAGGCAGACATTGAGGCCCGAGTTGAGGTCAAGAGTGTCTTGGCGAGGTGGCAGGAGCAGTTAGGACTTTAGGGGCCCCCCTTTGAAGAAGCCTGACCATCTGCCCTGACTCCTGCCATCTAAGGACTTCGTTTGCTGCTTTCTGAACATCCTGGGGCCTGAAAACTTCACAGCCAGGGCCAGGCAGAGCTGGCTTGGCCAGGTCACCTTGGAATGCATATGTCCCCCCAGGAGCCCTGCCTGTGTCTTCATAGGAAGGACATATGTACAGTCCCCCCTCACCCCGCTTGGCAATGTCCTCCACCCCCCTTATGTGGCCTCTGTTGTTCTCGTCTCATCTCTTGTCAAATTGTTATTTTGTAATGAGCTGTGTCTCCTTATTAAAGAAATGAGCTGAAAGAAACCTGGGGTGGGGGGTGTCTCCAGTTGTTTTCGCTGGGCTGTGGGGAACGGGGAGGCAGCAGCTGCCCACCACGGTCAGCATGGTGGTGAAGGTGGGAGACAGCCTGGTGCTCTGTGGCGGGGCACGTGCCACCTCAGGATGGAAGACAGACGCCAGTGCCTGATGCTCCCCTGGGGGAAGGTAGTGATGCTGGAGAAGGTCCTCTGCGAGGCTGCGGACGGACCACCCCTTGAGTCGCCTTCCAGCAGAGCTGGGCTTAGGGAACAGCCACAGTCTGAGCCCAGTGATGGGAGGCTGGCTCTGGGGTATGGGAGTTTGAAAAGTGAGAATTTCTACAAAGTCCTTAATTATCCCATTGCAAGGAACGTCAAATGTCTTTGTCTACTGAGGCAAAGATGTTAGGGACCAAGGATAGGGCTTCAGAATTTTTAAGGGAAGGGCCGGCCCTTGGCTCACTCGGGAGAGTGCGGTGCTGATAACACCAAGGCCACGGGTTCGGATCCCATATAGGGATGGCCGGTTCGCTCACTGGCTGAGCGTGGTGCTGACAACACCAAGTCAAGGGTTAAGACACCCTTACCAGACATCTTTAAAAAA